CTAATTCTATCCCTCCATATTTCCACACTTCATTTGGTATTCCGTCCTTTCCTGCAGCTTTTCCATCCTTCACCTTACTTATTGCTCTTCTTATCTCTTCCCTCTCTATCTCCTTTTCCTCTCCCTTTCTCTCCCCCCTTTTCCCACCCCATATCACCTTGTTTTCCACTCCTCTCAGCAAAGTTTTGAAATACTCTTCCCATTGCCTCATTTCTATTTCCCCGTTTATCCTCTTCCTTTTCTTTCTTTCCGCGTTCACTACCCTCCACACCTTTTCTTCTGTGTTCGCTTCTTCCGCTTCTTTTTCCAATTTCTTGTTCTCTTCTTCTTTCTTCCTTTCACATAACTCCTTGTACTCCTTCCTTTTTCTTCTGTATTCTCGCCTCTCGCCTTTTCCTCTCATCCACTCTTTTAATGCTTTCCTCACTGTCCTTTTCACTTCCTTGCATTCTTCATCCCACCATCCTCTCCTTTTTCCTCTTCCTATATCTCTCTTTCCTTCTACTTTCTCTATTGCTTCTCTAATTCTTTTTTCCATTCCAACCATTTCTTCTTCTAATCTTCCTTCTCCTGCTCTTATTTCTCCTAGATTCTCTCTAAATTCCTCTCTCCCCTCCTCATCCCACACACCTCTTCCTCCCTCTCTTCTCGTTCTCGACCTTCTTACTTTCTTATTCCTGCGCCCCTTCAATCATACCACTACTGGTTGGTGGTCCGAATCAATCCTGTCTACTATTTCCTCCTCCGCCCCTTCCTCTACTATCACATAGTCGATGACTGATTCGCATCTTCCTCCTGAGTATGTCCAGTTTCCCTCCCTATCTCCTCTCTCTCCTCCGTTTAAAATAAACCATCCTCTTTCCTTTATACTTTGAATCAGTTTCCTTCCTTCTTTATTAATCTTTTTATCCTTCGAGCATCTCTTGAATTCCCACTCATCCGCTCCTTCTATACTTTCCCTTCCCCATTCCTCTCCCGTCCTCGCATTGAAATCTCCCCCCTATTATTGTCCTTACCCCTTCTTCTTTTTGTTCCATCCAACCCTCTAGCGTACTTAGCTTCTTCTCCATGTCCCCATTCACGTATGTTCCTACCACCCTGACTATCTTCTTACCTACTTTTATCTTACCTACCATGATTCCCTCTGACTCCTCCTCTCTCTCAGTGTCCACTATTGCTATCTCATTCCTTATACCTAAAATCATTCCTCCCGCTGCCCTTCCCTTCTTGTTCCTCTTCACTGCCGCTTGCATCCTCCATTTGAATCCCTCTGGCAGTTTATCACTCACCTTTCTCTACCCTTTTTCTTCCACCCACGTCTCCATCATCACTATTGCATCCCAGTTCTCCAGATCTTTCCAGAATTCTCTGTCCTTATTATTCAGACCTGCTACGTTCCAAAAAGCTACTTTTATGTTCTCCCCATCCTCTCTTCTAATCCTGTCTGCTTCCTCCTCTTCTCCCTTACCTTTCTCTATTTCTTGCTCCTCCTCCTCCCTGGCTCCTCTTTGTATCTTCTTCACTCTATCTCCTACCTCCCTTCTCTCCTCTTCCTCCACTCTCCCCCCTCTTTCCTTTCTTTCTTTACCTCTATTATATCTCTTCCCCTCTCCTCCTTTCTTCTTCCTCCCCGTCTCGCATCTGCTCTCCTCTTCCTCTCTCTCCCCCCTTATCTCATTTATTCGCCCCCCTTCTCTTTCCCTACCATCCCTTCTTGGTCCTTTAATACTTCTTCTTCCTCATCCAACCTCCACCATTTCTCTTCTATCTGAATCCGTCCGTATCTTAGCCACACTCTTCTACCATTTTCTTTTTCCTTTCTTGCTATCTCTTCCAATTTCCATCTCATCCTTCTTTGCTTCCACGTTAGATCATCTTCGATTCTTATTCCCTTTTCTCCTATCTTTCTTCTTTCTCTCATCAGTCTCTTCTTCTCCTCCAATTCTTCTATCCTTACCACTGCTAATTTTACTTCTCCTTCTTTTCCTTCTTCTATCCTTTTAATTTCCAACCCTTCCTCTTTTATTCCATTATCTTTCATTATTTTCTTAATCTCCGTCTCTACTTTCTCCTTTCCGCCTCTTATCCCTATTACTACTATATTCCTCCTTCTCTTTTCTCTCTCCTCCATTTCCAGTCTTATCTCTATACCTCTCATCTTCCCTTCCATCCTCTTCACTTCCTCGTTTACTTCTCCTCCGTTTCCATTCGATCCTTGAACCTTCGCCTGTATCTCTTCCATTTTTCTCTCTATCCTTTCTATGTGCTTCTTCATCTCCTCCTTCTCCTCCATCCACCTCCTCATTTGATCCCTCCCTTCTCTTATTATTTCCTCTCTTTCTTCTCTTGCCTTCCTCTCCCTCTCTCTAAATTCTTCCTTCAACTCTTCTATCATCTTTCTGCTATCTTCCCTTACCTCCCTCCTCAGCTCTTTCATCATCTCCCTTAACACTTCCTCTAAACTATTCTGTCCTTCCCCTACCCTCTCCTTCGGCGGTCTCACTGTTTTCCTACTCTTCCTAAATATGTCCTCCCCTCCACTACTATCTAACTCCGCTCTCTTCCTTTTCCATATTTCTTCTAATGTTCCTGCACTCCCGCTTCTTCCCTTTTCTTTTATTCTCTTTATTCTCTCTAATTCTATTCTATCCTCTTGACTCTCCCCGCCGTTTTCTTCCATTTCTAGCTCCCCTCCCTACTCTTTCTCTACTCTTACTCTATGGCCCGCCTGTACTACCCGTTCTCCCTATCCAGTTTCCCCTCTGCGCTCTGCCTACTCTATGCCTTCTGGCGCTCGCGCCTGCCGCGGCTCCTACTACTCCCACTACCTCTCTCCGTGTTTCTTGTTCCGTGCCCTAACGTGTCTCCTTTCGCTCTCTCCTATCTTCTCTTCTCCCGAATCCCTTTCTGTCCGCCCTTTATCCCCTTCCTCTCCCTTCGTCCCTCTCCCTTCGCACTCTCACCTCCACTCACTCTCACTCTCGCTTCGCTCCTCTCACTCTCTCTCTCTCGCCTTCACAATTCTCGCTCTACTCTCGCACGTGTCACTCTCGATCACACCGGAAACGGAAGTCCGATCCACACTG